AAATTGTGTGTTGATCTAGAGAATTTTATGACAATTACTCTTGACTGTTGATAGTTTTTTACGAGTAATTCAGTCCTATTCAATGTCAGGGATGATCTGAATAATTTACTGGTATGCGTTTCATGTTATGCACTCAGTGACACTGATTCCATTCATCAAAATATAAGTTTTTCTAAGCCTGTAGATATTACTTACTGGCGAGTGAGTGAAAACACGCATGAAATTTATTGAAAGCCCAGCTTCCTACCGATAAACTCTAAGCACCTTACATAAAATATTAGTCTTTCTTAGCATCTCGTAACCACAGAGAGATGAGGAATAACTAGTAGTAACCAAAATGGTCTGAAGTTTCTGGACATTCCAAAGACTGGTAAATGGAACTGCTACATCGCAGCCACAATGTTCTATGTGCATGCTTATAGAGTATTCCCACTGACCTGTAGACGAGAGGAGACTTCACGAAATAAACTAGTTTTAGGTGATAACATTCTCAGAAACTGTGGAATCACAGTAATTAGTTAACTAATTGGTGTGCTCATATTGAGGGAAAACCTTAAAATTTTTCATTTAACAATTCAAGACACAAAAGATAGGAAGAATCAGTTAGGTATCAGAATTAGAAATGTTAATCAGTAAATAATGAAAGTGAATGGTAAGCTTGATTTGGAGCACAAAAGCCTAGTTTCTTCTTAAGTATTTCTATGGTTTCAACAATGCTTATTGGACGTTTGCGCACACTTACTGGAAACTTCTGCTAAATTCAATGAATCACATAAAATCAATCTTCAGAAACTGTATATTTACTTTCGACTGGATATTGTGAGATCGAATTTCTATCGGTTTGACTTAACCTTAACCACACCAAATTGAAGAGTATTCACATCAGTGTTGAACAATCTATCTCTGCACACAGCCTACGAACCTAGTTTCACAGTAACAAATGAAGCTACCTGCGTGTATACACATATACACAAACAGAGTGAAGTAACTAGCAGTTGTGTTTAACCCTTCACACATTCGTTCGTCAATTGATAGCAAGTGTAGATGATTCGCAGAGTTGCAGTGCACAATGTTTTATTAACAGCTTTCACTGGTCGACGTTTCAGTATTTAATATATTGCTTCGCCATGAGATTAAGACTTCCGAATGTGATTATTTTCATCTAGCCTACAGTATTAAACAGGGACACATTTTCGGTGTGTAATGCTTCCAAAACATCTTTCTGCATATCCATTTTCGCTGAATAGTGATCTCAAGAATTCAAGTCCTTCCAACGTGTCAGTTGTGCCAATTTTCCAGATTAGAAATGCAGGAAAAGCGATAAAATGTCTTTTGAAGGTAACAGGAACTTGAGTCTGAGAATGAGCCAGTTGTTCATTCCGCGTATACTTTCTTTAAAATGAGTGTGATCCTTGGGCATTGTGATAGAATATAATTCAATATTAGATTTGTTTATTGACTTATAACACAGTGATACAATATTGTCTACTTGTGAATAGCATCTCTCAAAAGCTGGTTTGATTGGGACTAGATGGTGACTCCGTCCTTTTGGTGGTAGAAGCTATCATGTAACCTGAATCACACGTCTCAGTGATAGCACTTCGAGTCACTTTGTCGATATTGTGATACCACTAGCCTTCACTTCTACGCAGTCACATATAAAAAATAGTTTCCACCAATGCAACATTTGTAAATAATGAAGTGACATCAAATGATAACATAACAACACATTGTCAGCAAACATTCACTTCACGAATGGAGTGGAATGGACATGCTGAAATGCGTCACATAAAGAATGGTGCAAAAGTTATCTCCCAATGTTTTCCAGTAGTTGAGTCAACCATCTGGCAAGGGAATGGTTACTTAGCCAGTGTTATGTCTGGGACGTAACATAATTTTAATCCATTTAATATTTGACAGCATCTTATAAACTTTTGTTGAGGAACAAAAAGGAGCGCATATGTCAATCGAAGTCGAACAGTTCAATCCAGTAAAAAGCAACGCAGAATTACAAGTGCGTCAATAAATAGTTATGATTCTAACGTTATTCACAGTGGTAAGCCTAATTGAGCAATTGTGTGAAACAAAGTGTTTAACGAAGAAATGTTGCAACTGCTTGTTTGCTACCATCACAGACTGCACTTTAAGATGAGAGAATAAAACTCAACTTTACATTGCCAAAGTTGGTTTTATTTTGCATGTACCTGTTTCATGAAGAGGTGAACATCTTTTCGCTGTGTAACGATAAACAGGTCAACAACATTCCAATGAACTTACTTCCTCTAGATAACAACATCAGAATAGTACAGAAATAATGAGTGGCATAAAAAGAAATCATTTCACTTCATAGTTATTCTTTAATTGAAGACATTATTAAATATGTGAGTAAAGAAGGTGCTATAAAACCACTGGCCAACTTTGGTTTACAAGGCCATAACTTTAAATAGAATACGATTTCATCGAATCTCATTAAATAACGAGGTTATTTGTTCTAGTAACAGAATAACTATTGAGGGAAATGAAGGACAACTTGGCAAAGATACTTTTATTCAACGAAGCTGCGAAATGCCCTTCATAACCACTAAAAACGAATGACAGTCTGTTTTTCAACAGTCGGGTGGGATTGTCTTGATATGGCGATGCTGAAATGAATAAAAAAGATGGAATAAAACGAGTCATTTTTTGAAGTCAGAGGCGATGAGAAAAGGTGATGAGAAAAGCAGTCAACTAGAATAGATGGGAATGACTTTTAGATGTGAAGTGTGTAAATATCTGCTTGAGACATAAAGTAATATCAGACAACACATCCGACAGAATGGTTAGTCACAAACTAATCACTATCAGTGAGGTTGAAGGAGTAAAGTCGAATAATTAAGAATATGAAGAAAGTAGACCGTGAACAAAATTCTACCATAGATTGAGCGAGAACTTCAACAGACTGTGGGCAGTAAATTTAACACGCTGAAATAAGGAAACTATACTCATCATGAACTGTTTATTGAGACTTTGTAGAGACGTTTGAAGGAAGATTCTGGCGATGTTTGATGTACAATGAATAAATGTCTAAGTACTGAAGTTTTGGAATTACTGTGTACTTTTTTTTATTTACCTATGAACTGTCGATGGGTAGGTGAAAAATAACCATGAAAACTGTCAACATAATAAAATGGGATATGTGATAATTTGTTTGGATGTGGACGAACGTTTCGTCCTACATGAGGCCGATCAGCCGGAGGTACCTGCACGCCAGTGAGCGATGTTGTTCCCACTGAGGCTCGAAATCGGGACCGATGGCTTTAAACACTATGGCTTCATCCACTATGCCACTATGCGTCAACCAGCCGAATTACCAGAAATAAAAGTCAGGCAATGTGGAGGCATCCGCATAATTCGATCCGAAATAACATTGGGGAATTACAAGTACGTCAATAAATAGTAATTGAAATTTGCGATGTTTGGAAAGTGAAGGCGAAAGCTTGTTCATGAAGACGAACTTTGTAAAATTGTGGTTCCTGTTTACCCAATTAGATAAATTAATTTGTTCATCCGAATGCCCTGCAGTGACTGTGGGGTTAAGTACTTCTATCAAAGTAGGCGGTCAGAATCAGTCAGCTTAACAGGACATCAGAACGTAGCTAATATGGATACACCCTGCCGAAATGAGTAATCTATGGAAGTATTGAGCTACATCCATATGTGTGATAATACACCACTACGTACGTGCGTAATAGAAATTAGTCAACATAGATTCCAGACATATGCAAAACACCACTATCAATAGAATGGAAACATGAACAGCAGTAGAACTGTCAGAAACTGAGTCAGCGAATTGTATGATTTCCGTGATATGATTATGAGCAATAAATTGAGCTTGATATATTGTCCAGTAAATAATACTATATCACTGGGTGCCCTGACCACTAGGGTAATCTAATATTGAATTACACTCGATTACAGTGTTCACATTCTTTACTTAAACAGAGTGGATTTAGGTTGAATTGATTGGCATCAAACGGTGAAAATGAAGAGATCAAGTTGGGATTGATCGTGAGGTCAACTACAAAACAGGATTGAAAATACACAAGAATTCTGAACGGTTTCAGCAGGATGACAGAACAGTCATTAGCCAGCATGGAAGCTTGACTTCACGGACTGAGATCAGTTGAGGAAAAATGTTTGAGACCTGGGAGCACTGGATAGTTGTCTCATTCTAGTATGGGACCTCTCAGCAGTGCGCATCCGTGAGCCAGTGAGGGGTTCAATCAAGGAGCTTCAGGTACCACGGTCAACGTGTTGCATTGAGTCATTACATTTGAATCTAATGGTACACAGTTTTCTACTTCTGTCTATTAGCTATATAGCATTACCTTCATACATCGTCGTCGTTGAAATTCCAGCATTAATTCACATTGCAGATTTATTTGATGTGAAAACCTGTCTTTTGTGCATACTCGCGTTCAGTTTAGTCCTTCTTGTAGCAAGCGCTTGTGGGATGTTGAGTAAATTTGCGCTGTTCTACTTACTGATTATCTAAAATCCGATCCAGTTCAAAACACACTGTCCTACAATTATCAAATGTCTAGTAAAGGAACTTGTAAAGCGTAGAAATTATTCAATGAGAGATTGCATCGAAACAATTACACAGAACACCATGTGTCCACATTCCGAATTTAGTATCTCTGTATAATGAAACTAAGAAGAGTGTAAAGCCTATCTCATGTGTAAACTGCACGTAATTCATGTAAATAAAATATGAAGTTATTTGTTAACTACTCTTTAAGCAGAAAAATCTCGTATAATCATATCTTCATCTTGGATTCAACAATGATTGCGTTATCTTTTAACACTCCACTGTCTCATATGTAAGGTAGACACATTTGTTTTTCTCAAGCATATAGAACACTTGTGATTTGCTAAAGATTTTCATTGGAAACTTTAATATAATCACGTGACAAGTCGACAATATCATCTATATAAGCTGACTGACAAGTGGATTTACCATGAGAGTCATGAAAAGATATTCACTTGTTTCGTTGTGTTTCCTTACTGTGATTATATGTCGACCAACTGTGTCTGTTTGGGATCAAAATACAGCAAAGATATTAGAAATGCACAAAAAATTCCGTCAAGACGCTGTCAACTGTCGGATTCCTAGACAACCAGCAGCGAAAACATTGCCTAGACTCGTTAGTTCACGCATTTCTGCTTTACACTTTATACTTTACTATAAACCTTGTCTATAATTTATGCAGTAACTCACCAGTCGGTATTCTCATACATGTTGCGCATACAACTGTGACGCCATTATATATCTGGGGTGCTTTTTCTATTCTTTAATAGACATGGAACAGTGAACTAGCTCAGAGTGCCTACCGGTTATCGAGTACATGTCGTTTCGGATTTCAAAAACCCACAAATTCCCGATTCAGGAGAGTTGGACAAAATATTGCAGCATATCGAAATGTTGAAGAGTGAGTGAGATGAAAATCAGTAAATTAATCATTTGATATCCTAGTGCTATGAACGGGTGGTTTGGTGAGCACAAGGACTACAATTTCGGATCACATACTTGTAGCCAACGATGCGGAAACTACTTACAAGTGGGTATTGATTAGATTGATTTTACATTCATTAAATATTACGATTGTCGTTGTGTTGAAATGTGTAGACTTTCGAAAGACGTTGCCGAAGGAATGATGGTGTGTCTACTTTTCCCCCTCCCACGGATTTTACAGTCGTATTGTCAAAGATGATGGTATGAGACGGTAGCCTCTTAATTCGTGAACATCAGATGCAAACTTTGGATATCGGTGGAAGATACTCCTCTCCTTACACATGAGTAATAATTACTGAGCGGTTGTGTGAGGAAAATATTTTGAGCCAAGTTGAAATAACTCACTATCATGTATAGCACTATCAGTCAGGTTACGAACTATAAGTCTCAGAAGCTATTGAGATTCGAATTACTCCATGAGTTATTCGAAAGTCTGATCTGTATGCATGCATCTTCACTCAGCAATCTTTGCATTATTTCTAATTCTACATTTCAGATTGTTTCTAATATGACTAGGGAGATCGGATGTGCGGTAACTGAGTGCCCGTATTCTAAGGAGTTTCCGTGGGGTCTTTTCATAGTTTGCAATTATGGTGAAGAGTAAGTAACAACTTTTAATGTTATGTATTCCGTCTAAAATGTTTGATGTGACACTAAGTTGAATTGATTTTCGAATCTCTCCTCAGTTGCATTACACCAGTCAATTAGAAAATCATAAAGACTGGAGTGACAGATGGTGGGGAGTTCACTTCTCAAGAATGATATTATTATTTATGGCACTTTCATTCTAAAGATGGCCTCAATGCACACTTTTGATGCTAGTGGAAAACAAACACAAGCTAACCGACTCAGGTTTCATGTCTCCAAAGTAATACTGAATTGACCAGATGAGGACACTGTTCCTCTAGTAAACATGATCGAATCTTAGATGAAACATGAAAGGAGCAGTGACAAACTCGATGTACTTCATGTGTAGACCGCCCCCCCCTTTTGAGTTAACAATGTACAATAAATTGAATATTTTACGTCGAACTGCAGGAATCAGTGAAAGCTGAGTTCCAATTCAGTTGAACTATTAAATATGTCATCACACCATGAAGCAGTATCACAGACTCCAAAACGTTCCAGACACAATTTACTATCAGCATCCATGTGTGGAAACTTGACAGCTTTGGAGACATGGCTGGCTTATTTCGTTCTAATTTTCTGTGCTCCTTTGTCATCTAGGTAGTAGAATTCTGCATATATCTGGGACAGGTGCTGAATCGCTCTTATCACATATATTTGACATTTGTTCGCCGAACGGGGACTCTGTTATCAAACCTCTCCTCAGTCCACTTCACCACCTGAACAGTCTCGTTTGAGATAGAGGTCAGAATATTATCACAGACAATATCAAAGCGTCTGTACAAGCTCGCATCATCTCAACAACAACTGAGTGTTTCATTTTTGTAAGTTTACAGGGTGACAGATGACAAACTTCAGTCTCAGGCACCACATATTTGATTGGCGTTGGTTCATGTGGAAGTAAGTGTTTCATAAAATACTCAGTCAGGTTTATTTTGATCCGCATAATATTACCTCAATGGCGATGTTCCGTGTAGGTGAGTTATAACAGACGTCTGGCTTTATCTGAAGGTGGTCCACAGGATTTACCAAGATGTAAGATAAAGTGATGATAGACATGGAAGATGCTTCAGGTGATTTTAGCCTTTGAAAATCGGAATAATATTTGAGGAGGAAAACAGGTTGAGTCGATGATTCTATAAAATAAATGACAGGTTTCATTATTGTCTAGTGTTGTTTCCTATCATAACTTGGTGCTTTCTACATTCATGAAATTCCAGAGCTAATTTCCAAGAAAGACCATATGAGGCGAAATATCCTTTCAAACTTTGTTCTGGAGGAAGTGTTACAGTTACCCCACCAACCGATAGGGGATGGCATCTTACTAAAGGTGTTATGCAATTTAATACCAAAAACTGTTACTGTTATAAATGAAAAATGAATTGCCCTGTTGTTTCAAAATCCATAACTATATTATACGTTTGATACAATAGAGATTTTGAAAATTAAAATTACCCTTTGAATTCTTGGCCCACCAGACGTGTCGGGGATTACCATCGTAAAGTCTCATGTCTGTTGAGGTGGATCACGAAGGAGTGTTATCTTCTGGTTTAAGGAAACCTGTATTGATCATTCTAGTCTCAGTGGAATAATTCGTTTCATTCTGACTCCAGATGAACTCCTCAGCATATTCCATTCTGTAAACCGTCTTCAAATTTAAATGTTCCTTGCATACTATCAGTTGAATGAATAAATTCTGTAGATTTGTGTGTTACTAGTGAACAACACGAGTGGTTGGAAAACACTCGGACTGATCTGTATATTTCGCCAGCCAGATCAGAGTGATCTTAACACCAGTCAACTGTTTCAGTGACTTGGGACTGAGCTAATCAGTGATGAAAAAGTACAAATTCAGTTCATAGAGTCGAAGCAATTCAGATCAACTGCATCTGGTCAGCTGACTAGCTTCGACAGGCTTTTGTTGACATGACAATTAGGCAGTTGAGGAAATGTGATGAATGTCAACGGGAACCAAGCAACTTGCAAACCACTTGTAGATTGACCATCCTATTTCTGCAGATTTCGTTCGATCATTTGTCACACACACACACACACACACAATCATTGGAAGTGGAACTAGCACCAACGTAAGTACTGGTAATGATGTCACTAACTTATAGAGCCAGTGGTCACAAGAATACTGAAAACACCATGAAAATGCATCAAGTCTCACAATCAGCGTGAACTGAAACGTAGAAAATTAAATCCAGCGTAATACTGAAAGGCGAAGTATGTGAAAAACCAAAATATACATTTATATAGTGAGTGGATGATAGGCATGAAGAAATAAGTGAGTAACTCGAAAAGCTACGATGGGAAGGTTGTTTCTTAATTTTTCTGCAGTTAAAGCAGAGTTGGGCGTTGTTTCAAAAGCATTTCGATCACAGAGAAGAATGGGGTTATTATTCCCCAGATCTCTTGACTTCGTCTGTGACCATCACACTTCTACGAAATGTATTCGAAAGTCTGAATGGAGTGCAATGTATTATGCTGAATGATGATTTGAATTTGTCGACTGAGCAATCACTCTTGGCAGAACTTGATAAATTTGAACTTCGTGTTGACGTTAATTGTCATTATACTCACCAGGAAGGTTGAAACACATCAACACCTTTGTTAAATCACTTGTCGGTGTACGTGAATTGGGTAACACGCTTGACTGGGTGAGTTCCTTATGGATTGTGCTATTTGAGTAAGGAATGACGTATTTAGCTAGGCCATTCGTTCAGACTCTGGTCAGCTTAGAGATCAGCTGGATTAGTCAATAATTTAAACAGTGGAAAAGTCACCTAGATCATTAATCACATGTCTAGGTCAGGTAGAACAAAGCTCACAGAACACCAAAGAAACATCACCCTCATCACGAGACGTAAACACTCTAGAATCATGCAAATCAAAATACAAATAACCAACAACAATTTAAAGTCAACACAGAAGTCTGAACACAGAGGACAGTTAGTGTATCTGTCACCAAACGACCAATAACCACCAATTGGAAGATTGAGATGAACAGTCGGTCAATAGCGTGTGCTTCCACTCCATTCAGCAATCATTCTTACTTACTCCGTCAGTTTAACAGCACCTTCTCGATTTGGTTCTTATATACACTCTTAGTAAAAAGGATGTCCATCAGATATTGTGGTTTATGCAGGTTGTGTTATCATCATGTTAGCTGACGCTCAGAGTTTATTGCTAGAATCCGCTTCGCACGTATCAAGCATTACAACTATGAAGAGAAAAGCACAATATTAGTGATCCTGTGAATGCGACGAAGTGAATTCAATACTCCAGCTGATTGGTTCACTGTTCTGAATATAGAAAGTGAACACCGATTGTTTTATTGTGTGGAAATCGGTTTGATTTAATAAAAACAATGTAATTTTCGTGATATAGCTGGACATAATATAGTAAAGATGTATGTGGTAGTTACTGAAGCTGACACTAATTATCATATGCTTCCTGATTCGTGATTCCTTGTCTCCTTCATGTATAGCTTTTATCCCGTTTGAGTGCTTGTTGGGTTACGGTGTCCTGGTCACTGTCTTCTGTTGACTACAACCTGGCATTTCTGGTATTACTCGGACATGTTAGCGTGATGTGCTTCCCTTCGTCAAAATGCAACGTATCTATTAGGAACTATCCAACTAAGTTATTTCTACGACGCCTTCACGTGTCGGAGAAATTCAGTGATATTTCGCTTTGTGTTTGTACATACAAATGTACATACCTATATTCAGGCTGCTCGGGAAATCTAAAGACCATGGATGAGTAGTGGAACTTCTCCTAAATAGTTACTTGAGAAATAATGGCTTCTAATTAAACCTAAAAACTGCTTAGAAAATCATTATCACCTGTCACATGAAATCACCGTTGCAAAAGTAACCGTCATCCGGTTAAGATTGAATCCCATATTAATTTAAAATTGGTAGATAATTTGATTCTACACTGATAAGGCTGTGTAGTATTTCAGGAAGTGGTTTTCAAAATGTATTCAGTGTAATTTATCCGTGTTAATGAGATTCGAAGAGAAATCTACATCTAAAATGTATTATAAGTAGATGTTTGATGAAAAATGCACACACAATGATAATATTTCAAGCAAATTACTCCCCGCGACTGAACAAGCAGTTGGGATATTTAAATAATATTTTGATCGGTATATTGGCAGTGTCGTCATTTCTATGCTCCTTGTGAACGGATTTCATCGATGATTAACTCACTAAACCAATTTAGATCTAATAATTCCCACATTCTCAAAATTTGACTCTTCGTTGTTATCAGAGTATGCTGTACTGTTAATCCAGTGTGTTGACAAAGTGGAAACAGAGCTTCACTGAGCATTTCGTCATGTGACCGATAGCTTCTTCAGTAAGATGTTCTAAATACGCTGGATTGAATTGCAGTATACTTTGATAATGATGAAAGGAGACTCGGAACTCGTTGTTCCAGTACATGCGTTATCAATATGATCTGGGTGTTTACAACTTCATCTGACTCCACGCTGTAGGTTAAATAAATATTTCATCACCACGAACAACAGTCCTCCGTCAGCATATCAGGGGTAAATGAAGAGACGTGTTTGTTCACGAAGAGCTAATGATCATGACAACTTCCCAAACCATTATGATCGGCTTCTTAGTGAACATGCCTCTTTACACACACCCTCAACAACATCGAACAAGATACCCAGGTAACTCAGACATATTTGAGTATTTCTGCAATTAATGCAATTGATGTCGTCGTTTCACAGATGTTTCGCATCCTGTAGACAATCATAATTTCGTGGGTACTGCAAAGGGAACCAGTGCACGTGAAACGCTTGCTTACATCATTTCGAAAGATACCGGTCTGTTAATAACAACCAAGTCAGTGGGATGAAATGGTATTCATTTTAAGTCAACTATTGTCGATAAATTTTTATTCCTTTCATTGCTTACTTGAAGGCGATCCGGCAGTTGCGGTTGCACCACTCCATATTCTAGAAGGAAGCCGTATCTAGAAAATCCTGCAGAAAAGGAATAATTTTTGATTTAGAGGAACGACAGAAGCCATTTAAACCCAATATGTGTTGGCCGTCAGAACAGCCTGTATTCGTTCTCTTCCCATCGTGGAGTATAATTTCACTTACGCTGCAGTTTTCCTTCCTCTGAGATGTGAAAGTGAAATGGGCGCAGCTGTGGGGGATTAAGTGCAAATTACCCGTCTCAGCAAAAGTCCTTCTAGTCCTCAGTTGCATTACCTTCCTGTCGGGGCACTCGAGACAGGAGCATTCTAGGTGTCAGGGAAGAAGTAGAAAATGACAATTACAAAAAGTGAGTGGCTTTGAACGAAATGTACTTGGGAAAAATAAGGGAGACTGACAGTGGAAGAGGGAAGAAAGGAGGGGGGCGAGTGAGTGACTGATTGATTGGATGAGTGAGCGGATAACTGAGTTAGGGAGTGAGTGAGTGAATGAATGAATGAGTATGGTGTGATTTCATTTAGAAGTAGGTGGGTGAAGATTAGGCGGAACACAAACTGTGAATATCACTCAGACAAAGTGTGATATAATGAATGGGATCGAAAAAAGTGAAAGTGCTATGACAAAATAGAATGTACTGAAATAGAATAAGGTAAAACACGAATAGAGAAGAGCTAGTTGTAAGAATCGTGTGATCAACATGATGGTAAGTCATGTTCTGGTTAGTGAAAAGGACTGGACAAACTGATGAATTTACGTCTCCGTGTTCCCCTTTAATAATAATGTTAATGGGTAGCACTTTGTCACTGTGTGAATTCTCCAAGAAACAAAGTGACTTGGGTTTCTTATCCACCATCTATAATTCCCTGCTTCTATGGAATAATTGGTTGCCTGAGGTAATGTGAATGATATTTGTACAGCTGCAAGTAGAAAATAAACAGTATCCAACAGGAAAATATTTCTTCAGCTAGACTAAGCATTGTCTGACACTTTTACTTTCCCGTTTCTATGCAACGTCGAATCGCCAGAACTCTATTGGCAGGCGATCTGCTATGCGTTTCCCTAGGACCTATTGGGCAACGCTTTGACGTTGGGAGCGTCGGCACTGGTTCCAATCTCAGTTGGAACAACATCACTCGCTGGGGTGCAGGTATGTTCAGCTGACTATTCCTAAATAGGACGAAGCCTGGTTCCTGGATTCACCCGCTAGTCGCCACGGTGAATGGGCTAAGTGCTCCACACTATCTCCCCTGGTTCCAAAATGGATAAGGCTGCGTCTGCACCTAATTGACTCATATATCTTCACTAGAGTGGGTCTTCAAGGCCAATACTTCTGTCACTCGATTGCACTGCCAGCAGTGTAGTAATCAGCCTGCATTTCTAATAAGATGAACTTCACTCAGTGAATCATACATCATGTGTGAATAATCATTTTTCAGATTTATTCACTATTCCCATCGTTGATGATCAGTATACAAGTCGAAGTATG